AAAAAAAAAAAAAAGATCGTGTGTATAAAGGACTTAGCATGGCTCTGGGCTTATACTTAGTATTCAGTCACCACTGTCATTAACCATGGGTCACTTATTTAGCCTCTCTGAGCTCCGTTTCTGAGTTAAGAGGAACAAGTGAGATAATAGGTCCTCAGTAAACGATAGCTATTCTTGTCACATGCAAGGGCTGTCCAGAAAGAATCCTGTCACATATGTCTCAAGGTAAGAGGTAAGATAGAGATTACTATTCCTTTTCACAGATGAGAAAACTGAGGTTCTGAGCGGTTGAGAGAAATACCCACAGTAACCAAGCTACTGGGGTGCACCAGGGACGGCACACACACTCCCCCACAGGGGCAGTCTCTAGTCATTTCAATGCTCCTTGCACAATTTCGCCATAACCTTGTACCACCTTGGCTCTTATATGCTTATCATGTTTCTTTATATTGACTCAATTTGTTTAAATAATTTATTTGAAAAAGAAACTGTATAGAACTCACTAACTGTAAGTGAAAGGACACACTAAGATAAATAAGAAAAATCAAATAAGGGTCCCAAATAGCAGCTGCAATTGTTGATTTGTTTAAAAAATTAGGATGAGGGGTAGGGGAGTTGTTTAGTAAGGGTTACATGTTTAAGACATATAGCATGTAAGCAAGACTTTGTGCTTGTCTATAATTATATGGCTCAAAATAAAATTAGAAAGGGTCTCATTAATTTGCCTGGGCTAGAGTGCACTGGCACCTTCATAACTCACAGCAACCTGAAACTCTTGGACTTAAGCGATTCTCTTGCCTCAGCCTCCCAAGTAGCTAGGACTACAGGTGCCCATCACAATGTCAAGCTATTTTTTTGTTGTAGTTGTCCTTGTTGTTTAGCAGGCCCAGGCCAGGTTCAAACCCGGCAGCCCCAATGTATGTGGCCGGTGCCCTAACCACTGAGCTACAGGTACCAGACTAATTTATGTTTTTAATTTTACTTTTCTTTTGAGACAAGTCTCACTTCATCACCCTGGATAGAGTACCATGGAGTCATAGCTCACAGCAACTTCAAACTCTTGGGCTCAAGCAATCCACTTGCCTCAGTCTCCCAAGTAGCTGGGACTACAGGTACCTGCCACAACATCCAACTATTTTTTCTATTTTTAGTAGAGACAGGGTCTCATTCTTGCTCAAGCTGGTCTCAAACTCCTGAGCTCAAGTAATCTGTCCACTTTGGCCTCCCAGAATGCCAGGATGACAGATGTGAGACACTATCCCCAGCCTAGGCTAATTTTTTAATTTGTTTCTTTAGAGACAGGTCTCTCCATGTTGCCTAGGCTGGTCTTGAACTCCTGGTCTCGAGAGATCCTGTTATGTTGGCCTCCCAGGATGCTAGGATTGCAGGTATGAGATACCATGCCCAGTTACCTTTGAAATTCAATTTGACTCACCAAATTTTTTTAAATTATGTAATTACCCAAACCAAGGTTCATGGATATGACCCTGACCCCGCCTCTCAAACCATTGTTCCAGCTATCACATCTCTTCCTCATCATCTTTCTGTCATGTCTTGTTCATTTCTGTTGTGCTTGCTGGAGATTGCAGGTTCCTCAAACACAGAAGCCCCGTCGTGTTTGTCTGGGCTCCACACAGTTTGGGAGAAAGTGCGGCACTCGGAGGACGCTGAGCACACACTGCTGAGAGGCGGGCTGCTGGATGAGTGGTGGAGGCATTTCTCTCTTTGCCTTCTGGGAAGCTTCTCTAGACAGACAAGAGAAAGGCTAGTGACTTAGACATGTCAAGATTCAGGAAGGAAAATGATGGGAGGAAGGGCCGAGGTGCACATGTCTGTCCCTGCAAGTGCTGTGCCGTTCTGCCCATAGGGTCTCAATAAATATTCCAGTAGCCAAAAGGTTGCACTGAGAGAAGAATACATGGCAGACAAAGGGCCAACCTGGTATTATCTGTGACCTTAGCACAGTCTCAGAAGTGAAAGAACCATCACAGCCCCTAATTTTACCAGCCCACATGGCTATTAACCTATAATATCTTAATAGTGATTAAAAAGAGGCAGCAATGTCTGTTTTACAAACTTGCTCTCACATCACAGTTCTCCCTCAGAACAGAAAAAAAAGAAAAGTTCCCAAGCA